GCATCCCAGAGTTAGAGAAGGGAGCCCCAGGTGCAGGAGTCCTGGTCCTACAACCTACAAGCTCTGTGCAACCTTGGGGGAGTCACTTCAAATTGACAATCCTCTTTTTTTTTTTTAACTGAGCATAGGAATAATAACCATAAAATAACTGCTTCCTATGACTAAGGTGAGGCCAAAACAAGATGACATCCATTAAAGCATTTTAAAAATGCACACAGTAAAGCAAATGTTTGCTCTGGATAACAAGTTTTAATTTTTTTTTTGAAAACCCATTCTTTTCAGAATGCAGAAGTGGGCTCAAGTTTGGTCAAACTGCCATCTACAACAGCAACAGCCCTGAAAGAAAAAGATGACCAAGTCTACTGCCAGCCAGAATTGCTTTTTACAGGTAAAATGCTTCCTCTTTCCCTGCATTTAGGGAAGGGGCAGATTTTCTTAGAGACACTGAGGCCTCTTCATATTACACCTTTCTCTGATTCATGGAGAAGGGACAAAGCAGAAAGGCTCTGGGATGCCCCAGTGAAAGCATTTGGGGACATTTCTCTTCCTTATATATAGTCAAACACCTTAAACGAAGGCACTAGGTGGTTGTTGGGCCAGACTTTCACAGGTGCCCTCTGCAAACGCTGCGACTTACTGAACACTGGCTTTTGAACATGCATGATACGATCATATTTCTACCTTCACACATTCACAGTACCCTGCAAAACAGAGGTGTTGCCAGCCCCATCTTGCAGAGGAGAGAATGGCCTGAGAGATGTTGAGCCACACGCAGAAAATAAGCCACCTAGAACAGGAGTCACACTCATTGGAGTGGGGCTTCTCTCCAGGGCACTATTGACATTGGGGGCCGGGTAATTCCTGGGTATTATAGGATGTTTAGCAGCATCCCCTACCTCTGCCCACCAGATGCCAGGAGCACCCCCTACTCTGAATTGGAATAATTAAAAATGTCTCTAGACATTGCTAGTGTCCTGTGGGGGGCATCATCACCCTGGTTGAGAAACACCACCCTGATTGAGAATCACCACCCTAGAATATAAGCCCATGAGGCAGGGACTGTGTTTCTGTGCTCACAGTGGATCACAATAGCACATGACACACAGTCTGGCATAGAGGGGTCTGTGTTGACACTTAAAAGTGCAGAATGAAAAGGCTTGCCCAAAGGCTTTCAGCTAGTGTGGATTTAAACTGAGGACCTTGCTCCATTGGCTGCCCCAGGCCAGAGTCAGGCATCTGGAAGGGCACACATCCCGACGGTCTCATCTGTTGTCACTGACATTGGATGTGTTCATACACAGCAAGGGCTTGGCTTAGGGCCTGGCCCACAGAGAGAGTCCAGCCTGCAGTAGCCAACGTTAGAACTACTTGAAAGGGCAGGTGCTGGTACATACGATTCTCGTTTTAGAGCTGAGGAAAGCAAGCGAGGACAATTTTTAGCAACTTGCCAAGGCAGGCAGCAGAGCTGGGGTCTGAGCTCAGGCTTCTCTGATTCCAAAGCGCTTAACCGCTGCATTTATCCTTTTAGAAAATGTGTAACCCATCATGTAAAATGTTCTGAAACTGGTTCTTTCACTTAATGGATGTAGTCTGAATATTTTCCCACATCCTGGACTCTTCAAGAATGTGGCTTTTAATAGCTGCTCAGAATTCACACTTTACTTAACCAAGTACCTCCGGTGGGCCATTTACAGGGTGAAGGTTGGGGGTTCAGGGGTCCCAGACCAGGTTTGAGAGGGGCCCAGGAGCTTCATGGGAAGTCTCAGGCCTACTCTGGGGTCAACTGCAGGCATCTTCTTACTTACATGGGTGGATGGTCCCTCTTCCTCGTGTTCATCTTAAGCTGTCTTTTGGAAGTTCTTAGTCATTTGTGGGATTGGGCATCTCCTTCCCATCTCAATAGTCCACTCCCCTTCACTCTCCACTGAGCCTGATGACCACTTGTGCCACCTGGAGTCTTGACCATGAGGTCTTCCTGTGGTGAATGTACCTGTCTCTGCTTCCTCTCCTCTTGGACGTTCTATCTTCCACAGCAATGGGCTCCACCTACCTGGAACATTTCATAAAAGGGGGACATTCATTTCAGTATTCAGACTTAGAAATTCTATTTGACACGGTGGGCGTATATAATTATACATACATTCACATGGAAAAAAATGTAAGTTTTGAGGGATTATGAAAGTCATGGGCATAATGAAAATTTCACATAATGAGAAACTTAGATTCCACAATAGAAAATATAAACTAAAAGGCAGTTATAACCCAGTAATGCTTCAAAATTTTTTCCCTTCTTTTGTAACACAGTGAAGATAATTCTACAACCATGCTTTTTACACTTAACCTTATGGTATGGACACTGCCCATGTTATTAAAATCCTTTGTCAGCATTATTTTTACATAATGTTATTATATAATTCACCTGATCTATTTAACTATTCTACACTGAACACTCCTTTCCGTGGCTTCCAGTTTCCCTTCACACCCACACATGCATGCACATGCATATACATCAGTACTATTTTTTTTAAAGAGCTTTAAGAAATTGCAGTAGCCTCTGATTTTAATCATGCAATTCTCTTTGATTTCTATCTTAGATAATTAAAGATGTTTATACACTTAAAAACCTAGGTCTATGGCACCTTGCTCTGGAAACTTCTAATAGAGCTGGGGTAATTATCAGAGGTTTCCTCCCCTGCCTTTGACCACATTTGATCCAATCTGGGCTCTGAGTCAAGTTCAGGAATCCTGGCTTGGGAACTGTTTCTGTGGAAAGGATGCCTCGCCTGGTATGAAGAGCAATGTTCCCAGCCCCCAGTGATGGGGACCTTATCAGCCATTGCATTTCTCTCTAGGCTTAGAGCTACCTCGGATCAATTATGCTCGCAATGGGAAACAATACCGATACATCTTTGCTGCTGAAGTTCAGTGGAGTCCAGTCCCAACCAAGGTACTGATCCCTGTGTGACCGTGCACTGGTTTTCCTTAAAAACGGTCATATCGGGCCGGCCCGGTGGCGCACTTGGTAGAGTGCGGCGCTTGGGAGCGCAGCAGCACTCCCGCCGAGGGTTCGGATCCCATATAAAGACTGGTCTGCTCACTGGTTGAGCGTGGTGCGGGCACGACACTGAGGGTTGCGATCCCGTTACCGGTCACGAAAAAAGACAAAAAAAGGAAAAAAAAAAAAAAAAAAGGTCATATCTGTCTGCAAAGCTGAATTTTCAAGTTTTGAGACTGGGTGACCTTGATCAAAAAAGAGATCAGGAAAGAGGTCAGTTTGGGGCAAAATAAATTTAAAGTAATGATGGACCATCCAAGAGAGGAAGCTGTACCTAATGGGCTAAAGCTCAGGTAAGAGGTCATGCCTGGAGCTTATTTGCTTTCTTATTCAATACATATTCACTGAGCACCAATTATGTGCTACAACATGGTAAGCACTGAGGATAAGGGAACCAGCCAGGGGACCCCAATCCCTGCCCTCAAGGAACTTATCCTCTCAAGCAGAGAGGGTACAGCTGAAATTTGGAGGATTTATTTTATTTTTTAATCTATTTGTCGAACACTTACTGTGCCCTGAGCATTGTGCTAAATGCTATACAGACATCACTTTTCCATAACATCTTCATTTTTTAATAATAAAATGGAAAATTTTTTTTAAAAAAATGCAAACAGTGAAGAAATGTACAAAGCCAAAATTTAAGATTTCCCCACACCCACACTTCCCACTAATCCCTTGCCCTAAAGGGAAATAGGCCTACGAAGAGATTGAGAGGCCCAGGGGTTTACACTTTTAAAGTATCAAAGGACTTGTATTATACTTTAAACGTTTGCATTGAATAATTAGTTTATTTACCACATATAAAATTGCAATGTAGTGAGTGCCAAATACCACCTAAATTCAGGATGCTGATTTTTAAAAGAATTCATTATGCAGCATCGGCTATGTGGTGGCCAGAGGATCTATGTTTAAAGTTGGAGGAGGAAAGTTAGCTTCTTTCATTTCTGTTGTTGTGCTGACCACAGGTACATGTCATTTGGTGGTAATGTAAGAGGTCTGCATTTGAGGGGCTAAATCTCCTCTCTTTGTGGACTTGATGCCTTTTCACATGCAAGGAATAAGCATGCTCTCAATCATTCCCTTGTTCCTCCTTTTTGGATGCACAGATAATAAAATATGACCTTCTCACAAAGTCGTCCTTAAGATGGGAAGAGGAGGGCTGCTGGCCAGCGGAACCCGTGTTTGTGCCTATGCCAGGTGCCAAGGATGAGGATGATGGTAAGACACCCCTGAAAAGGCGAGCTTGTGACCACCCCTCAGAGACATCGTGTGGGGGCAGCTGACCCCCCGGGTCACACTTTGAAGTCTAGGTCTACCTGAGTCAAAGCTGCAGGGTTAGGGATTCCCCAAGGCCACCTTCACTCCTGACACCACCTGCAAGTTCAGGGGTCCCCAAGGCCACCTTCAGGCTCAATAATTCATTGGAAGGATTCCCAGAACTCATTAAAAACTGTTGAACTTACATTTACGGTTTACTGCAGTGAAAGGATACAAATTAAAATCAGCAAAGAGAAAAGGCACACAGGACAGAGTCTGGGAGAGACCAAGCATGAGAGTGTCGCCAGCTGGGAAAGCTCACATGAGCCTTGGTGTCCAGAGTTTTTATTGGGGCTCAGTCACATTGACCTGGTTGACTAATTGTGTGGATGATCTTTAGTCCTCAGCCCCTCTGGAGATCAAGCTAATACCATGTGGCCCAAGGCCCCACATAAATCACATTGTAAGATTAGACTACCTGGCATGGCCCAAGGCCCCAGATAAACAAAGGCACTTGTATCAGGCCGGACATTCCAAGGGCCTGGAGGAGACCTCCCAGGAGCTGAGGGCAAAGGCTAGCCCTCTCTCTGGTCAAGGTTAAATTCTTGTTTTCTTTTTTTTAAGCTTCCAGCCCCAATTGGGTTGTCCTTAGTTTCTGTGATTTACAGTAAAATTTCACATGGGCCACTGTTTCTGTGGGTTTTGTTTATTTGTTTATTTGTTTTTAGTGGCTGGCAGTAAGGGGATATGAACCCTTGACCCTGGTGTTACAACACCATGCTCTAACCAACTGAGCTAACCAGCCAGTCCAAGGTTTAATTCTTTACTACACAAAGCTCATGTCCTTTTCACTGAGCAACACTAAACTCTCCCAGAACACAGAATCTTGGTTTCAAAGTTCATTGCAATCATTGGATCCTAATTTTTAACTATCTATAAGCTTGTAAATTTTTCACAGAGAACCTGGCAATGTATATTTGTGGCCCACCTCTCCTTTCCAGGTTTCTACATGACTGAGTGGTCCTTTCCCTCCTTGATTCTCAGAAATGCCTTGCCCTCAGCCCTGGGGATGCTAAGGAGAGAAACTAGAACCATGGGAGAGGATAGGCTGCCCAACCCTGCAGAGGAGGGTGGGCTGCCCCACTGAGCCTGTCAGCTTCTTCCCTAGGTGAGAAGGGAGTGGTTTTCCACCTGAGCCTTGCCTTCCTACAGACCATGGCATGGCATGCCAGGCCAGGGACCTCCTGTCACTGTCATCTCCAAGGTGGGGGACTGTTAGCATCACCTCCTAATGAAGCCAGTCTCCCACTTGGCTGTGCGAATGTTTCCCATGCATTCCTCAGTGGGCAGGGAGAGTCATGTCTTCATTTTACCGAGGGGAGGCTTAGAGAGTGAGACATTCGCCCAAAGTTGCATACTCACTACATACAGAGGTAGACTTTGAATCCAGGCCAACCTGACTGTAACTGAACTCAACCACTTTGCAACCAGGAGCCCTGGGAGGAATTGTGAGTGTCTGTAGAAATTTTATGGGTATTATTCTGTTTAACCCTCTACCCCTTGAGAGCGAGTACTGACAGTATTTCCATTTTACGGAGGGGAAAGCTGAAGTCACTAGTGTTGCTGCACATGCAAGAGGTGAATTGGGCTCATTCAAATGCCATTTGAGTGTAACGATTCCAAGTTTAGCTGAGAGATATGTTAGCCTAAGTGCAGCTCTGAAGCTGATTCTCTATAATTGGAGTTTTTAAATAGTAGGAAAATAGCCATTCTTTAATGTATGCAATAATTTACAAAGTCCTTTCATAATCCATTATATAGGATATCCTCTCAGCAACCTTTTGAGAGTATTTAGAATTATCCCTACTCCACAGATGAAGAGACTGAGGTGCAAAGAGATAAAGGGACTGGCCCAGCTAGTGCTAGAACCAGGTCTTTTGATTCCTAGTTCCCAGGGCCTTTCTATTCCACTTGCTCAGAGTATCAGATTCACTTCTGTCCTGTTTTGATCACATATGTAAATTCAAAGAGGACAGGGAGACAGAGCTGAGAGACCTATCCCTCCAGTTAGAGGAGATTGGAGGCTGCACTTCTACAAAGTGTCTCTCTTTGTTTTCCCAAAGGAGTTCTCTTATCAGCCATCGTCTCTACCAATCCCCAAAAGCCACCTTTTCTGCTTATTCTGGATGCCAAAAGTATGACAGAACTGGCTCGTGCCTCTGTTGATGTAGAGATGAACCTGGATCTCCACGGGATATTCATTCCAGACGCAGACTGGGACATGAGGAAGCAGGCCTCTTCAGAGGAACAGCCGGACAGGGCTTCAGACTGACACATGGCCCCATAGACCTGATGGTGTTGCAGCTTGGGCCCTGGGAGGACTAGCTCAGCTGGCAGGATCCCCAGGGCTCGAAGCTTGACACCTTTCTTTTGGAAAGGCCTTCATTTCATTTTGCACTTATTCTTTGTGGGTGCTTTGATTAGGACATAGAAAGAGAGCTTGTCATTATCTTTTCTTTCATTTTATTTCAGCCATAAAAACCTTGTTTGAAAGCAAAATTATTGATTAGCTCTAGCACTTCCAAGAAAGTTCCTTTCCTTTATTATAAAGACCTTGACCATGAATCAGAAATTGTATTAAATCACACTATCATCATTTGTAGAATGAGTAACCACTAATATATTAGAGAAGAGACAGGTAAATGTTCATCACTGCTCCTTCCTCTGTCTCTCTCTCTTTCCTTCCCTCCCTCTCTTCTTTCTCATGGACTAAATTGTGCATCTGGGTGTCTTAGCTTTCTCAGACATGCCCTATTTGTAAGTTATGTGGCCAGGAAGGCATGTACTTCGCAGTCACTCTACACAAGGCACGGCATAATATAAAATAATAAAAACTTTAAAGTCTGTTCACGCCTTATTTTATTTTTACATGGCTTCTTCCTCTGAGGTTCTTCTAAGGCAATAAAATAGAGTTGCAGAGCTTGATGGTTCCTAGCCAAGAAAGATGCCTCCTTGTACAATCAACGGGACTAACAGATTGGTGTGTGACTCCCCCTCTGCAGGAAGGGGCGAAGGTGCTGGACATCAACCTGACTAGCCATGGTCAAGGGGCTAGAATCCAGGATTGAGTACTGGAGCATAAGAAGTTCTTGCCTGCTGCTGAGAACCATAGCAGGGGGCCACATCGTGTCACAGGGGAAAGGAGAGACTCCAAGCTCTATGTGCTGCCAAGATAGAGCAGGTGTTTGGGGCACAGTGGAAGGAAGATGATGATCCCCGAGCCAGGTGGGGATGGGGATGGAGGAAGTTGGGAACAAGCCAAGCAGCGTTCCATGCAATTATTGGGAGCCCCACGGGCATCTGAGTCTCACCTTTATACTCTAGTGGGTGCCTGGTACATGGTTTAAAGAACCAAAGGCTAGATATTTCCCAAGTACCCATGTCATGGGATCGGAGGGTAGAGTGCAGGGGGACCTGGGATTCACACCCTTATTCTGCAATTGCCTCTTCTCCTGAGTCTGGATTTCATTCAGTCACCAATGGAGATTCAGTGACATGTGTCAAGGATGGGAAGGAATCTCTGGTGGCAGTGCATGAAATACTCCAAGGGGACAGACCTCACCAGGGTGGTCTTGGCTTTTGCCTTGCTACCACCATGAAGCCATGTTTAGCTTCCACTAAATGTAAAAATGTAGGCTCCATTAGGCCAGGGAGATCATTTTTTCGTGGTGTTTTTTTTTTTTTCCTTTTTGTCTTTTTTTCGTGTCTGGCAACGGATTGCAACCCTCAGTG